CCCAGTGGACGCCTCGTGGGGCCGTCTTGGGGCACCCTTGCGAGCCTCGGGGGCCATCTTGGGGCCATCTTGGGAGAGATCGATCAACGGAGGGAGGCTCCTTACTTGGGGTCCCCCCCCCCCACGAACCCTTGGGAGCCTCGGGGGCATCTTGGGGCCATCTTGGAGGAAATCGATCAAAGGAGGGAGGCTCCTTACTCAGGGTCGCCCCCCCGGGAGGACAAAATGCAGCCCAAACCTTAGTAAATCGTTGATGCTGGACTTCTCGCCGAGGCCTTCTGGAGCGTCTTGTGTGCTATGGGGTGCCTCTTACGGCGCCTCTGGGGTCGCTTGGGAGCTTCTTGGGTGGATCTTGGAGGCTTCTTGCGGCCTCCTGGGCACCTCTTGGGGCCATCTTGGGGCACCCTTGGGAGCCTTGGGGGCCATCTTTTGAACGTCTTGGGAGATCGATCAAAGGAGGGGAGCTCCCTAATCAGGGTACCCCCCAGGAGGCCGCAATGTGGCCAAATCCTTTTCAACATCAGTAAGTTTGGCGTCCGCGCAGAGGCCGTCTTGGACGCTCCAACGACCCGCCGCCCCCCCCCCCCCACCCCTCCAGACCCAGGGGGAGAGGGTGTGGGGAGGCGTCAAGACACCCTCCTAGATAGCAAGCCGTCTAACTCACTCCCGCCCGCCCTCCCAACACATCAGTAAACCCCGAGCCTCAGCATGTTCAGCGCTCCTCTTTGGATGGGCAGCTCCTGGGAACCAAACCCGACCCCATGTGCGCGACGCTGGGGCCTGAGCGGGCCAGGCACGCTTGGTGCACCAGATGCGCCACGTGCTCCACATGCGCCAGGTGTACTGCATACTCCAGCCGCGCCAGGTGCGCCACGTTCGGGCGTCTGCGCACGTGACAGCTCGCATCCGGGAAACATGTCGGCTCCCATTATCCGTGTCGAAAACCAGTGCCCATCATTGTGTCTGGTGGGCCTGCGCACAGCAGGCCATACGCCACCACCCCCGCCGCCCTTGTCAAAAACTACTTCGCAGTGATCGCGGTGCGATTGCACATGATCCAGATTTACCCGCGAGGTGCATTTCATATAGCGCTTGATGGGGATGGTGGCCCTGCGCACAAAAGACAATATGCTGACACCCCCGCCGTCCCTGTCAAAAAACATGATTCAAGACTTCGCCCCAAAGTTAACTCTGTATTGCTTTTTTGACAGGGATGGTGGGGGGGCCGCATCGGCTTGGTTGCGCATGCTCCGAATGTGGAGGCAGAGTGCGTTTCGCACTGTTATTTGACAAGGATGATATGGGGGGTGATCATGGTGTCCTCAGTGTTCCTGGTTGGCAGCCAGTCGCCTGGGGGAGGGGGTGTATATTAGTAGGGAACAGTGATAAACCCCTCCCCGATGGGAAGACGGGAGTTGGAAGAGGAAACTCCCTAAACCACGCTCGCCCTGAGAGCTGGTGGGGTTCCTAGCCACAGCGAGTCCATGATTCATTTGAGTAGCCAAATCGAGCATGTGCAAGCATGGACGGGGACGCGTATTACAAGCGCACCCCTCGTCCGCTGCCGTCTCGCAGCGTGGTCGCGGAGGTGGACTCCCAGTCCAAGCGATGCAAACTAAAAAACATCGCTGAATCGCTTCGCATGAGTTGCGCCAAGTGACAAAGTCATCCAAGGAAACCGCACGCCATAGTTGGCACAATTCCTTCACACAATAGAACGATATATGAAGGCAGGCGAGGGCCAGCCGTATGACCGTGGCCCAGTGAAGGACGGGGGGCCACCGCGAGTCTCCACATGGGGTCCCCCAAGATGGCTAGATAGGCTTGCAGAGAACACCCTTGATGTCGGGGTGGGGAGAAGAAGGATGAGGATTGAGGATGTTATTTCAACGCTGTGTTTCTCCTCCTCCTCCTCCTCCTCCTCCTCCTCCTCCTCCCCCTCCTCCTCCTCCTCCTCCTCCTCCTCCTCCTCCTCCTCCTCCTCCTCCTCCTCCTCCTCCTCCTCCTCCTCCTCCTCCTCCTCCTCCTCATCCTCCTCCTCCTCCTCTCCTTCTCCTCCGCAGGCGGAGAAGGAGGAGCAGGAGGGCTTACTGCTCCCACCGGTTGCTCGCGGGCGGCGGCAGATCCGTCAACGCTTTCTGGCGTCTGCGGCGGATCCAGCCGCCCTGGCCGCGCAGTGCCTCACCAGAGAGACGCCGCTGCGCCGCCTCGTGCCCTCACTCTGTCACTGCTGTGGGCAGGCAGCCCGTGGAGCCGCGGCGACACGGAGGTCGTGGCGGGCGCTGGAGTTCTGAAGCCCTGGCCGCCCTCGTGGCGGTCGTGCGGCACTCGGTGCTGTGGCCCGTGCAACTCAGACTCCTCCTCCTCCTCCTCCTCCTCCTCCTCCTCCTCCTCCTCCTCCTCCTCTTCCTCCTCTTCTTCTCCTCCTCGCATCATCATCGTCATCGTCATCATCAGAATCATCATCATCATCATCATCATCATCATCATCAGAATCATCATCATAATCATCATCATCATCAGCAGCATCAGCATCACCATCTTCATCATCATCGTCATCATCATCGTTGTCGACGTCATCACCGTCCCACTCCTACTTCCCATCCTCCTCTACCCCCTCATCATCCCACTTCTCACCATCACCATATTTACCCGACTCACTCATGATTCATGATCATTACTTGCCTCATCTTCGTCGTCATCGTCGCTGTCATCATTCCACTCCTCCACCTCCTCCTCCTCCTCCTCCTCCTCCTCCTCCTCCTCCTCATCATCATCATCATCAGCAGCAGCAGCATCAACAACAGCGGTAACAACTAACAACAATAGCCGCAGCAGCATCATGAGCATCATCCTCAACACCATCCCACTTCCTTTCCTCCTCCTAATCGTTCTCATCCTCCTGCGGTCACCTGGGCAGCTCGGCGAGTAGATATTGCAGCTCGCTCTACCACGGTCGAGCAGCCCACTGCGCCCTGAGGCGTGAAACGCCTCAGGAGCCTCCGGTGAAGTCGCCCCACTCCTCCCCCAGGCCTCTTCCCCCGCATCCTCCCCTCTCCGCCCCGCTCCTCCCCCAGGCCTCCTCCCCCGCTTCCTCCTCCCCTTTCTCCCACGCTTTCCCCTCCCCCATTCTCCCCCCCTCCCTCCTCCCCCCCTCCCCCGCTTCCTCCCCCCTCCGCCCCGCTCCTCCCCAAGGCCCACTCCTCCCTCTCTTCCTCCTCCCCCTCCTTCCCCGCCCCCCGTGCCATCGGAGTCGGGCGACCGATCCGTTTCGCGCGGCGCTCCGGCCGGCCGCCGAGGTCGTGCGTTCGACCTTCTTGCGTCGAAGTCGGGCACGTCCCTCTGCAGGAGGAATCTTCAAGAATAGTAAAAACAAATAGTCTGGGGACGATTCTTTTACTATGTTTGACCATGCTGGAGCACCTTGGGACTATCTTTTCTTTTTCGTCGAAGATCCCCCTGTAGGAGGACACGCCCGACCTAATCCTGCGTCCTCTGCACCGCCGCCCCTCCCCGCCCAGGCGGCCCGCCCCCCCGCCCCGCGTCCACCGCCCTCGGCCGCGCGTGCAGCCCGATCCGACCCGGCATCCGGGACCAGCTGATGCCCCGCACAGGGGGGCTGGAGGGAGAGGGGGGGAGCCAAGCTAGGTGCGCTCGCGTCATATCTGACATCCTACCCCTCCCTCCCATCCCTTACCATGGCGCAGATCCCCTCTCTACTCGCACAGTCGGATGTCAAGCAGGGCGATGATCCCGAAAGGGTATGCGATGCATTGTAGAGCACGGCATGGCATGGCGTAGAAGAGCACCGCGAAGCGTAGTATCAACCTGGCATTGCATTGCATGCCGTGGCATGGCACGGGAAATGACGCCAGCGCTGCAGCGGGAGCACGAGTCGAAACGAGCGGAAGCGCGGAAATGAGGCCAGCGCTGCAGCGGGAGCACGATTCGGAACGAGCGGAAGCACGGAAATGAGGCCAGCGCTGCAGCGAGAGCACGATTCGGAACGAGCGGGGCCCGAAAATGAGGCCGGCGCCTCAGCGAGAGCAGCATTTTGGGAAAAATTGCAAGCGAAAACCTAACTCCCGAGAAGGCTTCCCGGGCGCCAGAAGCAGAAATTCAGCATCTTCAAAAGAAAAATGTGTATCAGAATGGCCTTTTTTCGGCGCCGCCTCGGAACTCGATTTTCCGGCGCTGGCTGGAACCGGCTCTGGACCCGGCCCGGGCGCCGGCCCGGGCGCCGGCTCGGGCGTCCGGCCCGGGCGCCGGCTCGGGCGCTGGCCTGGGCGTCGGAATCGGCCCGGGAGGCCTCCCGGGCGCCGGAAGAAGAAATTCAGCATTTTCAAAAGAAAAATATGTGTATTAGAATGGCCTTTTTTCGGCGCCGCCTCGGAACTCGATTTCCCGGCGCCGGCCGGAACCGGCTCCGGACCCCGCCTGGGCGCCGGCCCGGGCGACGGCTCGGGCGTGCAGCCCGGGCGCCGGCGGAAATGATGCCAGCGCTGCAGCGGGAGCACGATTCGGAACGAGCGGGGCCCGAAAATGAGGCCCGCGCCTCAGCGAGAGCAGCATTTTGGGAACAAATGCAGGCGAAAACCCAGCTCTGGGGAAACCTGTGTGCAAAAAAACAGTACGCGGGGGGGGGGGGGGGGGGGGCGAATATTCCCAAGACGTCATCAGGGGAAAGGGGGAATTGTATTCATATAATTGAGTAATTGTAAAAACGGGGGTGGAGAGGAAAAGGGCAGGGAGGAGGGAGAGGAGGAGAGGAGGAGGAGGAGGAGGAGGGAGGAGGGAGGAGGAGGAGAAGGTGAACGACGAGGGCTGGGAGGAGCAGGAGCAGAAGGGTCGAGAGCACGGACGAGGAGGAGGGCACGAGGCGAAGGAGGGGCACGAGGACTGACTGGAAGGAGGGCGAGGAGAACGACGACCAGGTCGACGACGACCAGGTCGACGGACGCCGAAGATCAGCCTGCTGCGGCCGGCGGCCGCAGCCAGAGGTCTGCAGCGCCCCGGCGCAGCTCGCCCACCAGCCGCGCGCCGGCGCCCCGGCGCTGCCCCTCTCCCAGGAGGCGCCACGGGCGGAAAGTGGGTCGGGCGTGGCCAGGGAGGAGGGGGGAGGGAGCAGGAGGGAGGGAGGGGGGAGGGAGGAGGGAGGAGGGGGGAGGGAGGAGGGAGGAGGGGGGAGGGAGGAGGAGAGGAGAGAGGAGGGAGGAGGAGGAGGGAGGAGGAGGAGGAGGAGAGGAGGAGGAGGAGGAGGAGGAGGAGGAGGAGGAGGAGGAGGAGGAGGAGGAGTTGCAGGCGGATGTTGGCCGAAAAAATCAGTTATGCGAACGGAGTTCCCCAAATAAAGATATCAACGGCTTCGTGGGACCCATGGGGTACGAAACATCGACACGAAGGAGAGGCTCATCGAACGAGTAAGTACGCACGAAAGGGCAGACGAAAGAAAGGAGGGGGGAGGACAGGTGCTCAGGAAACGAAGCCTTCTAAATAGTATGGGTTTCCGATACCCTCCTCGCTCAGGCGGGGCCTCCTACAGGCGGATGTTGGACAAAAAAATCAAATATTTGAAAAAAATGCAACAGATGCCATTATATAGATTCATGGCGGGCTCGTGTTCCCAAACTCACTGGTGAGTGACGTCGTAACATACGTAGATATAAAAAAAACAGGGCGCGCGCCGAAGGAGCATGTGAGTCAGGGGCCAGCTTCAGGCGCCCAACAAAAAGGCGGCCAAATACAACATGCGAGTCAAGGGCCAAATTTGGCGATTCGGAAAAAAAAAAAAAAGACAGGAGAAAACTCATGGGTGGAACGGTGTCGACTGTTTGGGAGGAGTCGCTCTGGCTGGGTTTCGTTGATTTTGTTCGTTTTCGCTTGTCCGTCGGCTGCATTGGTCGCCCCAGGCTCGTCTGCCGCCCCCTCGGCTGGCCCTCTTCCCTGGCTGGTTTTCTTTGTTGTTGTTTGTTTTCGCTTGTCCGTCGGCTGCATTGGTCGCCCCAGGCTCGTCTGCCGCCCCCCTCGGCTGGCCCAATTCCCTGGCTGGCTTTCTTTGTTTTTGTTTGTTTTCGCTTGTCCGTCGGCTGCATTGGTCGCCCCAGGCTCGTCAACCGCCCTCCTCGGCTGGCCCCATTCCCTGGCTGGGTTTCGTTGTTTTTGTTTGGTTTGGCTTGTCCGCCGGCTGCATTTGTCGCCCGAGGCTCGTCAACCGCCCTCCTCGGCTGGCCCCATTCCCTGGCTGGTGGTCTTTGTTGTTGCTTGTTTTCGCTTGTCCGTCGGCTGCATTGGTCGCCCCAGGCTCGTCAACCGCCCTCCTCGGCTGGCCCCATTCCCTGGCTGGTGCTCTTTGTTTTTGTTGGTTTCGCTTGTCCGTCGGCTGCATTGGTCGCCCCAGGCTCGTCTGCCGCCCCCCTCGGCTGGCCCCATTCCTTGGCTGGTGTTCTTTGTTTGTTTTCGCTTGCCCGTCGTCTGCATTGGTCGCCCCAGGCTCGTCAACCGCCCTCCTCGGCTGGCCCCATTCCCTGGCTGGTTGTCCCTTGTTAGTGTTTGTTGTCGCTTGTCCGTCGGCTCCAGGGAGGCCCCGCCTGAGCGAGGAGGGTATCCGGAAACCATACTATTTACATGGTTTCGTGCCCCTCCTCCCTTCCAGCGGGGCCCCGCCAAAGCGAGGAGGGCATCAAGAAAATGGGTCCCACGAAATCGTTAATCTCTTTATGTGGGGAACTCCGTTAGCATAATTAGTGTTTGTTGTCGCTTGTCCGTCGGCTGCATTGGTCGCCCCAGGCTCGTCTGCCGCCCCCCTCGGCTGGCCCCGTTCCCTGACTGGTGTTCTTTGTTTGTGTTTGGTTTCGCTTGCCCGTCGGCTGCATTGGTCGCCGCAGGCTCGTCTGCCGCCCCCCTCGGCTGGCCCCATTTCCTGGCTGGTTGTCTTTGTTTTTGATTGGTTTCGCTTGTCCGTCGGCTGCATTGGTCGTCCCAGGCCCGTCTGCCGCCCTCCTCGGCTGGCCCCATTCCCTGGCTGGTGGTCTTTGTTGTTGCTTGTTTTCGCTTGTCCGTCGGCTACTTGGTCGCCCCAGGCTCGTCAACCGCCCTCCTCGGCTGGCCCCATTCCCTGGCTGGTTTTGTTCGTTTTTGTTTGTTTTCGCTTGTCCGTCGGCTGCATTGGTCGCCCCAGGCTCGTCTGCCGCCACCCTCGGCTGGCCCCATTCCTTGGCTGTTGTTTGTTTGTTGTTGTTTGTGTTCGCTTGTCCGTCGGCTGCATTTGTCGCCCCAGGCTCGTCAACCGCCTTCCTCGGCTTGCCGCATTCCATGGCTGGTTTTCTTTGTTTTTGTGTCTTTTCGCGTGTCCGTCGGCTGCATTGGTCGCCCCAGGCTCGTCTGCCGCCCCGATCGGCTGGCCCCATTCCCTGGTTGGTGGTTGGTTTTGTTTGTTTTTGTTTGTTGTCGCTTGTCCGTCGGCTGCATTGGTCGCCCCGGCTCGTCTGCCGCCCCCCTCGGCTGGCCCCATTCCTTGGCTGTTGTTTGTTTGTTTTTGTTTGTGTTCGCTTGTCCGTCGGCTGCAGTGGTCGCCCCAGGCTCGTCAACCGCCTTCTTCGGCTGGCCCCATTCCCTGGCTGTTTTTCTTTGTTTTTGTGTGTTTTCGCTTGTCCGTCGGCTGCATTGGTCGCCCCAGGCTCGTCTGCTGCCCCCATCGGCTGGCCCCATTCCCTGGCTGGTGTTGTTTGTTTTTGTTTGTTTTCGCTTGTCCGTCGGCTGCATTGGTCGCCGCAGGCTCGTCTGCCCCCCCCCTCGGCTGGCCCCTTTCCCTGGCTGGTTTTCTTTGTTGTTGTTTGTTTTCACTTGTCCGTCGGCTGCATTGGTCGCCCCAGGCTCGTCTGCCGCCCCCCTCGGCTGGCCCCATTCCCTGATTGGTGTTCTTTGTTGTTGTTTGTTTTCGCTTGTCCGTCGGCTACATTGGTCGCCCCAGGCTCGTCTGCCGCCCCCCTCGGCTGGCCCCATTCCCTGGCTGGTTTTCTTTGTTGTTGTTTGGTTTCGCTTGTCCGTCGGCTGCATTGGTCGCCCCAGGCTCGTCTGCTGCCCCACTCGGCTGGCCCCATTCCCTGGCTAGTTTTCTTTGTTTTTGTTTGTTTTCGCATGCCCATCGGGTGCATTTGTCGCCCCAGGCTCGTCTGCCGCCCCCCTCCGCTGGCTCCACTCCCTGGCTGGTTTTGCGCGTGGCTTAGTTTGTTTTCGCTTGTCCGTCGGCTGCATTGGTCGCCGCGGGCTCGTCTGCCCCCCTCCCCTTCGGCTGGCCCCAATTCCTGGCCGGTTTTGTTTGTTGTTGTTTGGATTCGCTTGTTTGTTGGCTGCGTTGGTCGCCCCGAGCTCGTCTGCCGCCCCCCCCCTTCGGCTGGCCCCATTCTCGGGCTGGTTTCGTTTGTTCCCTACCTAGGCGCTGCCTAGAAGGGTTCTTACTCGGTATGCTTAAAGGGCCGGGCAGTGTTCCTCGCCCCGGGCGGTTCCCCCGGCATCCGCTCCGCGGTTCCCCCAGTGACGCCCCCTGGGTTCACTCAGCTTAGCTTAGTTAAGCTTAGCTTAGCTTCGCTTAGCTTATCTCATCTTAGCTGAACTTAGCTTAGCTTAGCTTAACTTAGCTTTGCCTATCCTAGCTTGGCTTAGCTTCGCTTAGCGTCGCTTAGCTTAGCTTAGCTTAGCTTAGCTTAGCTTAGCTTAGCTTAGCTTTTCTCAACATAGATTAGCTTAGCTTAGTTTAGCTTAGCTTGGCTTAGCTTGGCTTAGCTTAGCTTAGCCTAGCCTAGCTTAGCTTAGCACAGTATAGCGCAGCGCAGCATTAGCACAGCATAGCATAGCATAGCGTAGCATAGCCAAGCATAGCATAGTATAGCATAGCATAGCTCAGCATAGCATAGCATAGCATAGCATAGCGCAGCATAGCATAGCATAGCATATCATTGCTTAGCATAGCACAGCGCAGCATAGCATAGCAAAGCATAGCATACCATAGCCTAGCCAAGCCCAGCATAGCAGTGCGCAGCATAGCATAGCAGAGCAGAGCAGAGCATTGCATAGCATATTATAGCATAGCATAGCGCAGCACAGCATCCACTACTGCTGCTGCTAATGTTGCTTTCCTAGAGGCTCCAACTCCTAGGTAGGGTCGCACTGGGATAATGTTTGATTGTTTTCGTTTGTCCGTCGGCTGCATTGGTCGCCCCAGACGAGCCTGGGGCGACCAATGCAGCCGACTGACAAGCGAAACCAAACAAAAACAAAGAAAACCAGCCAGGGAATGGGGCCAGCCGGGGGGGCGGCAGACGAGCCCGGGGCGACCAATGCAGCCGACGGACAACCCGAAACAAACAAAAAACACACACACACACGAAAAAAAAAAAAAACAGGGAACGGGGCCCGCCGAGGGGGGCGGCAGACGAGCCCAGGCGCGACCAATGCAGCCGACTGACAAGCGAAAACAAACAAAACAACAAAACATCCAGTGAATGGGGCCAGCCGAGGGGGGCGGTTGACGAGCCTGGGGCGACCACTGCAGCCGGCGGACAAGCGAAAACAAACAAAGACAAACAATTACTCACTGCGTGGAGCTCCCCATATGTGCATCGCATGTTTATGCCATGCCATGGCGAATGGCGAAAGAAAACCAGCCAGGGAATGGGGCCAGCCGAGGGGGGCGGCAGACGAGCCTGGGGCGACCAATGCAGCCGACGGACAAGCGAAAACAAACAAAAACAAACAAAGACCAGCCAGGGAATGGGGCCAGCCGAGGGGGGCGGTTGACGAGCCTGGGGCGACCAATGCAGCCGACGGACAGACGAAAATAAAGAAAACCAGCCAGGGAGCGGTGCCAGCCGAGGAGGGCGGTTGACGAGCCTGGGGCGACCAACGCAGCCGACGGACATGCGATAACAAACAAGAACAAAGAAAACCAGCCAGGGGATGGGGCGGCAGACGAGCCCAGGGGCGACCAATGCAGCCGACGGACAAGCGAAAACAAACAAAACGACAAAACATCCAGTGAATGGGGCCAGCCGAGGAGGGCGGTTGACGAGCCCGG